TCGCAGCTTCTATTCTGGCGGTCCTTAACCGCTGGTAGGGTATATTAGTGATTATACAAGATATCAATGTGGGAAGAATATAGCTACAGCGGAAACAGTGTCCCGCTCTTTTTGAGCGGGGTGATTTTTGGTAGATCCATTAGGATTGAGAATATTAGTTGAAAGTTTCTTATACAGATCTGCGAACTTGGGATTATTCTGTAAAACCGCTTCCTCCACTGGAGGTAACATTTCGTAGATTGTTTGCACTGAAGTTGGATGTTCAATTGAACCAGATGATATTCTGCCAACACCTCACCACCAAAAAGTTACCACACCACCCAAAAGTTTTGTTGCACGTCTGTGACCAAAACCGATTTCTGCAAATTGAAGTAAAGTGTAAATTTTGCTGCAGATTTAGAGTCGCTAAGACTTCAGGCACTCGATAGAAACTGTTTCGGGAATTTGGAACAATGGTGGTTGGGTTCCGAAAGGGTCGTTCTGGAGAGTTTTTTGTTTACTTTGATAAGGCTGATGATGGTGAGCTAGCTAGTGAATAGTTGTCTGCCGAGGCTTGTGAGTACTGGAATAGGTTAGATCATTAATTACTACTCCCATGCGGAGCCTTGCCGACTTCTTCTATCATGGACTTTTCAACTTCACTTGAAATCTAACTTTTCTTTCACATTCATTAAAACTTCCTTCCCTGGAGCTGAGGCACAGTGTTTGGTATACCAAATCAAGTGTCAAACGCAGTTCTCCTCGTTACTTCTCGTATTCAACTGGAATACCCATTCTGATTGACTTTTCTGGATTTATTTCGACTTGCAAACAAATCTGATGTAAAATTCGAGATAGGCTCGAAGGCCTGTTTTGCTCAGCATCATGTGGGCTGGAATAATGCCTTACACCTTCTTAGGCTAGTGGTCTTTTGCCATGATTGATACTAGTCTGACTCAGACTGTGATCAATGTGAGGAAATAGCTTCAGTTTGAAAGGACGCGGCGGTGGGCAGATGAGTATTCGTTGCAAGGAATGAACCTATCCTATGGACCAAAATAACAGAGGTTCGTGCTTTGCAATTGTGGCAAAAAAGTACTGCCGTGTCATGATTATTTCACCTAGTACTTGCAACTTAGATTTGTTGAGGGTAATTTGTGATTTTTGCTGGATCTACTGTTTTCGTGAGGGGGTAGGGGAGGGGAGGTTGAGGGATTCTATGGACATTGTGAATGTCGGTTTTAGTAGAGGTTCTTTTACAGAATATTGCTCACACCGATAGGATTTAGCCCCTTCAATATCTGTCGATCAGTACGCGCAAAAATTAGAAGACTTCGCACCATTTGTGTCCGTGTGCACAAACTCATCCATCAACTTGATGTTTCGGCAGACAGAGCGATGTTCACATCATCTTCATCTCTCAAGGCATTACCGTGGAAAACTTTCTTCCAAACACAGTTAATTGAATGTTTGTTATATTCCTCATTAATTCTTGATAATTACTCGTTGCTCACATTCTTCGTTTGAGATAGGAGGTTGTTTGGGAGAAGTTTCCCGTTACATACTTTTTTATCATCGTGATTTCAGCCCCTTTATGTCTCTTCCTTACTTCTTCTTCAGCTAGGGTAATTTACTCTTTGCTCTCGAATTCCTCGCGGATGAGCAGTACAAAAGAGGTGACGGCACTGCGAAGAGCAGCTCTACAATCACTTCATGAATGGAATATGTATCAACTCGAAAGATATGTATGTTATAAACACGGACCGGGCATTCCGGAAAGGGCAAGAAAGGATTGAGCGTTCACCTCTGCCTGAAGGCCGTGATGCGCATGCCCGATGGTGATTACTGAGCTACTGTCACTTTCATTTCATCGTCCAAATAAGTGTTCCTACCATCGTGCTACGTGCCCGCAGAGCAACTCATGCCTAGCACATGTTCATCTCGAATTGGCCGACTCTGTCCTTGGCAGTCGCTCTGGCAGTTGCTTTTCCACTCTGGATGAGACTACACAGCCAATATACTTGGTCATTTTCAGCTAGAGCATTGATGATTCAGCCATATAGAGATCAAAGGAAGTAAAATTAATCACTAGAGTTCTACACCGATGAAATGAAGCATCAGAAACAACAGGTCTAGCCAATACAACGATCGGACATGACGGAAATACTATATCAATGCTAGTGCAATTAATAAATAGTACTTCTGTAATTTTAAAGCAGGTCATAAAGTTGTGCCGCCAATAGTCCCTTACTTGATTCAACGACAATAATTAACTTTTCAAGGGTTACTCTATTACTCTGCAACAACTCATTTAGAGGAGATCTTCTCAAGTGGAAGCCTGGAAGGAATAATGTGCTGTAATGTGCTAAAGTGCTAAAGTGCTAAGCCTCCTTCGACTCCTCCACATAAGCCCCCGAAAAAAACTTCACACCTTTCTCCAAGAATGGGTGACGAATTGATGGACTTCCGATTCGGAGTTTTCCCAAAAGATCAGATTCCCTCCGACTATCAATCTCCACAATCATGGGATTCGACCACAGATATCTGTGCTTTGAAACTGATCCGTTCGTCCGTTTGTCCCATTTTTAAAACCACTAGTGGCTGCAATTACAACGGCGAAGATGCTGCTGGGATGCGGTTGATCTTTTCTAGTTAATGGATGTCTGTGCTGTCCGAGTACGCGACTGTGGATTCTGCCGGTATCAGATTCTGCCGGTATGACAGGTGAGGCGGGAGTACAAATATATACTTTTTTGTACGCGGTAATTAAACTTAGTTTCTTTGATCGTTTTCTGTTCTGTATATTTAATATTGAACTGATGGTCTTTGACAAAATATTTTGTGTATTTTCTGCTATTAATTTGTTGAGTGATCAATTGACGATTCTGATTTTTCTTCTCACGTCTCCTTCTGTCACGCATTTCTAGTTAAAATGGATTACGATATCAAAACTCCCGTAGTGATACCAGGTAATGTGATTAAGAGGAAAAGCCTCCCTTCACCAGCAATTAAAGAAAAGCCATCTATAGCATTGTAAGCCGACTATTGTCCATACAAGAATCACTTAAACTAACAATACGAAGCCAATCCCCGGATTATGACCCAACCGAACCACCAGCCTATATGAAAGACCCCTATCCCGAAGAAAAGGACATCCCCGACACTATCTTCATCAATCCAACTATAACATCCACTCCAACTATCACATCCGCTCCCTCTACCCCCTCCACCGCCTCCTTTCCCCTCGATAGATTAGTCATCCCGACCAAAACCGATTCCCTAGCCTCCGGCTTCCCCTACCACCAACGTCTCTGCGATTACCGGGTCACACACGATGAATGGCATATCTTCACCAACGAGATTGTCAAAGCCGCGAGTCTAAGCTTAACAGAAGATTGGGCCGCCTGGACCGCAGGTATTTCTACAGGTGTACTTAGTACCGGACTTCTAGTATTCGGGGGTCCTGTCGCGGGATATTATACGGGACGCTCAGTGCATAGAAAGAAGGTCCTTGATAAAGTCAAGGATGGATTAATGCATGAAGGAAGTCTAAGGTCTACACTTCATAAATGGAATGAGCAGACGTTTCGTGATAAGGGATTTCAGGCGTGGTTGGAATTACCGGTTGTGAAAGGGGAAATAAATGGAGAGGAGGATGAGGAGCAAAAGAAGAAAAAAAAGAGCAGGAAGGAGAGGAAATTGAAGGAGAAGGAAAGGAGAAGGTTTAGGATTGTCATTGTTTCGAATAATGCGCCCATGGGTATGATTATGGGTAATCAGCAATCGACTTGGAGTTTGGTACAGACGGACTCGATACAGCAGAGTGAGATTGTGGAGGCACCTGATACTGGATATAGACATCCGGGGGTGGCAGAGCTTGCATAGCGGGCGAATTTCATGAGGTGCTTTGCTCATTTGCGATGTTGGGGAGTTCATCAAATGGTAGAGGTACTTTTTTACTCACCCTCGTTGCGGTACTTGCATGACGGGCGAATTGTAAGAAATGATTTGCTAGTTTCCACCTTCTGACAGGCAGCTACACGACAACTTTCTTGCTCGTTCACCTAGCTTGCGTTACAAAAGGCAATTTTACTTTCGAGATTCGCGTTGTCAACTCGCACTATTTTTACCTATACCAGCGATTGCTCCTTCTGTATGGCCAACCTCTCCCTTTTGCGAATTTGATTCACTCTCGCAAGACTTCATCTTTATATACAGTTATCAAAACTACCATTCGCAGAAAAACATCATCTTTTTTATAACAATTTCCAAACTCTTCAGTTTTGATAATATCTCACTTTCAGGAACGAAATTTCAATATCTCAACATCTATCTTTAACCATAACAAATCTGACATCATGGAAACCAATAAGGATACACTATATCCGAAAATATCCGCGAAACCAAAGAACCTAATGCTGGAGTTTAGCAAGTATCAGAAAAAGACGAAAGGTCGACAGGCTAGCAGCATCTTGGTCACTGGTACCGTGAAGCTACACGGAACGCATACTGACTTCCTGATCCATGCAAATGATACCATTCAGTTTCAAACTCGCAACAACGAAAACTTTACGGCGGATATGGATACCATCGGCTTCATGCCTTTTGCCCAAATGCTAAAACCACAAATTTTGCATTTGAAAAAGCAAATCCATGCTAGATTTTCAACACTAAACCCTAAGGCAAAATTGGACGATGCACATCCGCTCATTATCGCTGGAGAGTTTATTGGTCCCAAGATTCAAAAAGATGTGGCTATTAGTGCACTCCCTCGAAAATGCTTCGTGATCATTTCTGTCTCCATCAACAATGAATGGCAGCCGGATGAGCAATACGCCGATATCCACAACGAATCCGTCGGTGTTTTCAATGTCTCTCGAGGAGGGTTTTTCCACGAGACGATTACTATCAAGAATCCACAGCCAGCATTTGAGAAGATGCAAGCACTAGCTGATGCAGTAGAAAAAGAATGTCCTTTCGCCAAATCTTTCGGAATCATCGGGCTAGGTGAGGGCATTGTCTGGAAACCCACCGTGCCTCTTTGTCACGATGCTAAATATTGGTTGAAGCTAAAAGGACCGATATCAATGGGGACTGCTGTGGCTGGACCAACGGCTAGAATTCCGCAACGAAGCGGCTTTGTGACGCCGAGTTTTTCAAAAGCAACACCTGCAAATGGTGGTGCACCTTCTAGAGCAACGGGCAACACAACTCAACATCGTGGGGATTTCGTAGTTTCTGCGTCTCCACCCTTGAAACCAGCTGAGGCAAGCAAGGGTTCTCCAAACCACTCGGACAACATGTTATCATCACAAAGTCCACATTCAAGACATCCACTTTCCGAGATAAACCCTACCCTATGGAAGAGTAAGAATGTCACAGTTGGAACCCCACGGAATTCGAAGCCTGGTCAGATTATCGCTCCCGTCGCATTGGCACCAGGGAAAGTCAATGTGGCTCCATCAGAGAATTCAAGACCAAATCAAGGCGCCAGGCCTGCACTAGTACTTGCAGGAGACGAAAATCGCAGCCTAGAAAGCCCCAAGAACATGGAAGGCTCTATATCCCCGGGATTCAAGAAAGCCGAAGGAGGTGCCCTAGTGAGCCGAAAATTTACTGAGAGTACCAAATCGACACAATTAACACCTGAGATGATCCAACAAGCAAGATCGGAAATTATAGACCTTATCCAGACCGGCGGGTCTGTGGCATCATCAATGACACGTTATAAGGTGGACGAGCTTGCGCCGAAAATTTCTAGCGCTGTTGAGAGTATTACCTCCTCTCCAGCCACGTCGGAGGGGTCTAGTAGAGAACCTTCGGAGAGCGAAGACGAGATTCAAGCTGGTTGGCCGCTTCCATTGCTCTTTAAACGGGCCAATGATGCAGATCCAGAAGATGCAAAATCTACTCCCCTGACGCTGATTCTAGAGAAGTTTGACGAGATGTCATTGAAGACCTTTAAGCCAATTCATTTACCATTAAAATTCAAGACGGTTGAAATACCAGTATTGGCAGCAGCTAGATCATTCGCATATGAAGTAGCCTGGGATAGAAGGTTGGAGCAGGCCTGGCAATTCCTTTGCGAGAATCAGGCTCCAAGAGATAGGAACGGCATAGTGGTTTTCTTGAAATGGTTGTACCACGACATTGCAGTAGAGGAGAAGGCAGAGATTGAAGAAATGAAGATCGATAGGCATTTCTTAAAGAAGGAGATTGAGATAATCGGTAGAGAGTGGTATTTCGAGGAGCTATTATTTAAGGAGCATGATTGGAACTTTAATACTGGGGCGGAGCTTTGAGTTTTTTTGATACCTCGACTTTTAGTATAATAGTGCGCAACAACTTATTCATGGGCTTCTTTTTATAGGAAATATACTCTTGCATATTAATACTCGATATTTTTCTGATGACTTTTTATGATTGAGGAATCGTATATACAATTACTAAATACCTAATTAGCAAAACAAACGAACGATTCTGCCTTTCAGGAAGCGGTGAATAGAAACGTGACTCACCAACACTTGAGGATTTGTTGCATATCTGAGAAGCGCAGAGTTGCAAAGTTCCTCACACCTCAGTGAATTCAGCGCTAAATTTGTAGAAATACATCGATCGGGAATAAGAACATTTTTAGGAATTTATTTCCGGGACGCATACATTCAATTTTCGGTCTGTGCGTATTATCAACTTCTTCCACCTTTCTGACTCCTGGTGCACCAACCTCTTTACCAGATCATCTTAATTTCAAAGCTCTCGATATGTAACGGACATACCGAGATTCTACTATTCAACATCATGGATTTATATATCAGCGTGAAGCGTACTTTCTATTATAACTATTCTGCTTATAGAATTACACCCGCTTTCCGCGATGAAACAGAGCTATCATCACTATCAACATCAATCATGCAAGATTTCAGCACTTTTTCTGGTAAGATATCACCAACTCGGTCAATAATGTTGAAGAAATTATTGAACAAAGCTCGAGTGTTTTTCTAATGCTTACCAATGCATTGTTCTTTCTCCTGTCAATAACAACTTGTGTACCTTTCTTTATTCCTAGCTGGGACCGCAAACGGTCTCCTTTCATTGCTTGTTTGTGTTTTTCCTTTACTATCTTATCCTTGAAAGAAACCAATTCAATGTAATCCAAGTAGGAATTACGGCAGAGTTAGAGTTATTGAAGCTTTTCATGTGTACCATTTACGACTAGAAACTATATCAAACCTCCTCCAAGATGAGTGCTGCTTCGAATGAATTTAAGGTCATTGCGACCACAGACTATAAAGGCACCACAGTTGAGGTTGTCGACGGGGATCTGTTAAAGTATCCGGTAGATGTCATTGTTAATGCTGCGAATGCTAGTTTGGTGAGGGGAGATGGTATTGATGGGGAGATTCACAGACAAGCTGGACCTGAACTGGCAGCGGAAATGAAGACGCAATTCCCACATCCAGGGAAGCAGGGTGGCGCTTATGGAACGACTCATTCTTGGGATATAACATCATGCCAATATATTATCCATGCTGTTGGTCCGGATTGGCGTCAACCAAATCAAAGAGCCACAGGACTTCTTGCGAACGCTTATCACAATAGTCTAAGCCTGGCAGCGAAAAATAATCTCAGATCCATTGCGTTTCCAGCTATTTCGGTCGGAATCTTTCAAATGCCAAGGGGAATGGCAGGGGTTACAGTAATGAAAACTATTAGATCTTGGATCGATAGTCATCAAGGGGAAATGGATCGCATAGGTATATTGCTATTCGGTTTTGATCAACCAGAGATAGTCGAGATGAAGTATCCCAACCTCCAACTATATATTCCAAACGATGGCCCGGATAGGAGTAACGAACCGGCAGCAGCTTTTAGATTCCTACTTGATACTACTGTACCACAAGCTCCCCCTCCAGCTACGACAGTTGACATACCACCACCTCAATCGAAGCTTCTCACAGGCATGCAGGGGTATTCTGATGACTTTGGGACTCCGGATCCCCCTTCTGGCTTATCAGTTTCACCAACACCCCCTCCTGGTACTACAAATAGTGCATCCATACCGAGCACGGCAGCTAGTGTTACTACCCCATTTGGTGCATCATCCGAATTTCCATCTGAGTCTTCATCCGACTCTATGCCCGAGACTCCTCCCAAGTCTCCATCCAAATCTCCATCCAGGTCTCCACCCATGTCTCCGCCTTCACCACCGCCGAGACCTACAGGCGGACGTGGCGAAACCCCGAGCGATTCAGGCGAAGAAGCCCCCAGCTATCTCGTCAGATTCTACGAGCCACTTTCTCACATGTGGATGGGGCGCGATCGCTACTACGCTTTGTTGGAAGCCGGAATCGACCCCGAAACTTTTTACGAAGGAACGATGATACCGGACCCCGAGGAAGATCCCAACACTGGACCTCTTTCCGGCGAAGAAAAAGTCATGTTCGATAAATATAACCAGGAAAGAATTGAACGAGGAGAACAAATCATGACGCGTTTACACTTGCCAGCAGTACAGAAGGATAAGGAAGCGAGGGATAGAGAAAATATCATTCATGCGGAACGTAGTCAGCAGATATTGACGGAAACTGCAATAAGGACTGAGGCGAAGGTTGAAGTATGGAAGGAAGCAGTTGAGAAGGATGGGATGGTGCACTGTACCGTTCTGGAAATAGGTGGAGATCGATGCCGTATGCGTGGATATGCCGCCCTCTGGCGCGGCAACTTATTTCCTGATCGGTGCTTTCGGCATCAAACAGATTAAAATCCGGTTGTAAGAAGTGAGAGATGTGGTTGAGAGGACGTGTTACGTTATGAGGTTTGTAGTTAGAGGGGAGGAGGATTCATCGTTAGGTTGAAGGACTATTTTGATAGATCATTAATGATATGTCCCTCATTTTTGACCTGGTCTCACTTGGCACAATTCATTTCATTACATTTTCTCTGCTACAAACATTGAACTGTAACTCCAATATCGGGATAGTCAGTATGGTAAAGAAATACTAACGATTGGTACGTGATTGAAAGTCCTGTATTAACAATAAACTTAGTAATTCTATAATTTGAGCCAGATAATTTCTAATATGATAGTAATATGCTATAATGTTCAACTTGTATCTGTTGGATCATATAAGGAATTTGCACTCAGAGTATTCATTCCAACAATGAGATTCCACCTTACCGGTAGCTCTGATCTTGTGAAATCTCAGCTGTAAATTGAAGGAGGATAGGGATGTATGTATGCGGAACGGGGAGAAATCATTTAGAACTGGTGAACTATATTTTGAGAGAATTGGATAAGTTGTTTGGATATAGGAATAGATGGAAGATCTTTCATCAATTCAGAATGTGATTTGGCTCGAATGACGTTCAATCAACCAATCATATGTCTAGCTCTTACGGCTAAATCGCTGACAAGAACTAGGTAGCTAGGTACATAATACAAGATCTCCTGAACGTCACCATTTATTTATTACGAGGTATAATATTTCTATAGAGACCTTTCTATCTACTTTTTAAATAAAAGTTCTTTTATCTAAATTATAGATTTCTACATTCCATTCACCGATATCAATCGATCTTATTCTTGTAGAAGAAAGGAATGCTTATCTAGATATTGCTGTCAAAGTAAGGAATCCCCACCACAATCCAACAAAGCAACTCCCATAAACCATAAACTGACTCCAAAACAGCACGAACTTTCCATCTAAGATTTCTACTCCATGTAAAAAAAAAAAGAAAGAAAGAAAGAGAGAGAAGAGAAACATGTCACTCCCACGTATCCTCCTAATCCTTCTCGTCAAAACCATCCGATTCCTCGCCAATACCCTCGCGCCCCTCATCCTCCGCTACATTTACCGCAGTATCCCCCACCCCGCCACCCGCACCCTCCACATCCGCAGTACACTTCTCCCCTCCGTCCCCAGCACCCTCACACTACATATCTACCAACCACGAAATTTCCTCCTGAAACATTCGCCCCCGCTCCCATGCATCCTCAATTTCCACGGCGGGGGCTTCGTCCTCGGTAATCCAACTGATGATTCCCTCTGGTGCAATACCATCTCCACCCTCCAAAACTGCATCGTTATATCCGCATCCTATCGCCTCGCGCCCGAATATCCCTTCCCAACCGGTCCCTATGATGCTTGCGATGTACTTTTATATGTATTTTCGCACGCGGAGGAACTCGGTATCGATGTGGAAAATATCGTTTTAAGTGGATTTAGCGCGGGAGGAAGTCTATGTTTTGGGATTGTACTGCTCTTGCAAGAATTGAAGGAGAAAGGAGTAGTGAAGAATCCTCTCTGGAATATTAAGGGAATCATGGCATGGTATCCCGGACTCGATAGTACGATTACTCGCGCAGAAAAAAGAATGCGGATGAAATATCCGCATCTTTCCCTACCGTCCTGGGTCACGGCTATTTTTGACGCGTCGTATAAACCGGAGTATTTAAATATTGATCGTAGACATAAATTACTTTCAGCGGGGATACAGGAGAGAGAAGTATTGGAGAAGGCGCTGCCGAGGAAAATTAGAATCGTTACTTGTGAACATGATATGTTGTGTAGAGAAGCGGAGGATTTTGTGAAGAGGTTGGAGGGCTGGGGTTGGAGGGTGGATTTGGAGTGTGTGATGGGGGTTAGACATGGGTGGGATAAATTTCCACGGGCGAGCCCGGATCCGAGGTTGTTTTATGGGAGGGCGGGTGAGTGGTTGAGGAGGGAGGTTTGGGGTGAGGTGGGAGGTGGAGATGGAGAGGGAGAAGAGGAGGGAGTGGGATTTGAATGATTGATGTGGAAAGATAGTTCATGAGATGATGTTTTTGCCAATCTTATTGAAGTATATTTAAATATACTATATATGGCATTGGATAAACATGATATTTGGAAGCTCCTCGCCTGATATTAATCTATCTAGCCCAAGATGTTGAAGAATTTACCCCATGAACCTGCTTACGAATTAGACGAGACAATATCAAGGAAGCCAAGAAGGATAAGTGTTTTAAGAAAAGACCTCAGATACATTTTCTAATCATCCCATTAATATTCTACAGAGCTCTTATCTTCAAGTCCTCCCGCTTCCACTTTTCTCACTTCTCACTTATCTCATTTCTACTCTTGACTCAGAATATATCTATCTACATTGAAAAGTCAGTTAGCTATATCTTTATTACTCTATGCACATATACTTTCCCAAATTTGGATTTTGCAATATATTATTCATGATAGAGAGTCACGGTAACGAGTGGCAAAGCGGAATATCTTTAAACAAGATTTGGGATCGAGACTCAAGACATGAGACATGAAGTTACCATGCATCCAGATTTTACAGCATGTTAATAATTGATAATGGTTCTAGCGAGAACTTCTCCCAGCCCGTTCGAACGATCCTTTGTGTGATATGAGATATGTAAATATATATCTATATATATATATGTTCTAGAGATTTAATATTGAATAATTTCAAAGTAAAATAGAAGAAGAGAATAAAAGATCATTGTTAATACAGCTACAGCTACAATTTCATCGTTCATCTCATACTCAGATGATACCAGGTACAGCAATAAACTTGAGTGAATATAGTAGTTGAGTTAAATATAATATTCATGTGTTTAATAAGTATTATCACACTTATCTATACAAAGTGAGTAGGAGGTAGTTTTGCTTTAGCTTTCTTGTCTGTCTCTCTATACCTGTCTTTCTACCGACTCCCTGAACCACCGGCCCCCTATTTCTTCTGCCTCTTTGAACTCTTATCAGTGCCTGTACTTAATACACTTGCACTTCTTTTATACGCAGCCGCAGCATCCGCACCTGCATCAACATTGATATTATCATCACCATTATGCTCTCCGTCACCATCGCTACCTTCTTTCTCCTTCTCTGTCCCATTCTCACTCTTCCCATCTCCTTTCTCCGTAGTCGGCACTACCTCCGCATCTCCTACTTCTTCGTTTCCTCCTTCATTATCCTTTCCCTCATTTCCATTCTCATTTCCACCTTCTTTTTGCCTCTCATCTACCGCACCATCCATGCCCCCAATTGTAGATGAGTCACCTCCATCAGCCCCTGCCTTTCTCCTCTTCTTCTCCTCCAATTGTTCCTTCAAAACCGCAATCTCTCCCGTCAACTTATCAACAACCTTCCTACTATCCAAGAAAATCCCAATACTCCTGAATAGCTCATCATACCCATGTGCTACATCCACTGTAGCCATGGTAGCTTTTTCACCAATACCCAATTCGGCCAACGTATTTTTCATACGTGTTTGTTGAATAGTACTCTTAGTGGTGAGTGGTCTAACCAATTTTTCACCACGGAAATATGGTCCTCCTTGTAGACGATCATGATGTGAAACACCGTAAACTTTCTCTTCTTCTTCTGTGAGTCTTCGGCGTTCTGAGGGATTTTGTGCGGAGATTGATATACTTCCTTTTTTATGACCAGCGGCTGATGAGCTACCAGCATTACCTGAAGGTCCAGATATTGATTCTCGAACATTAGAATCACGTCGACCATCATACGCATTTGGTGTATTGGCTCCGACAGGAGTTGAACCACCTGGTGTTTGTCCTTCTTGAATAGGTTTTCTTTTCTTGCTTTTGTCGGCTGCGACAAGTTGTTGAAAGAGTTGATGTAAACCTTGACTAGTGGTGTAAGGGCTGATATTGGAACTACTTGCAGGTGCATCTAGTCTGGCATAAAGTTCTCTTCGCTCCTCCATAAATTTCTCAGATCGAGCCAAGATTCGCTTGAGCTCCACCATAAGGCTCTCTTCTTCTCGAGCTTCTTCTCTCGTACGAGTAAAGACTCCTTCGAGGAAATCTTTCCTATGTTTCTCTTGTCGAGGTTGGTAATTTAACATCTTTTGATGTAAATCGAATTCCGCAGTATTCATTTGATCTAAAGGTTTCCTCAGGGCCATCATTGCCGCACCTATTGTATAATATCTTGATTTTAAATCTTCCATCGTCCTAACTTCTGGTCTTCTTATAATCGCACGTTCTGGAGCGGCTTCCGGGATGTCAGGAGGCACATATTCATATCGATCCCATATAACTGGCCATCTTAAATCATATTCTTGAACCAAACCCACCAAATAATCTGTTTCGTGTCTCGACCATCCTTCCCTTTCTAAAATTTCCTTGTATTCCTCATCGGTATAAGTCGGTACCTGAACCTTTACGTTATACTTTGCAAAAGTCGAATCCTCAATGATCTCCTCTTCCTTCCTCTCTTCTCCATTCTCCCCCATTTCCGTATCTCCCTCTCCATCCGTCTTTCTCTCCCTGATCTTGTCTTTCCCCTCAACTTTCTTCCAGTGCTTCAATACTAACCCATCCCCGCCTCTCGCGCTATTCTTAAAAGGCCTGGCCTCCCACTTCGCAGCTGGTTTTCGACTTCCAAATCTCTTCTTCTTAAAAACCGCTTCTTCCGGTACAATCGCAATTGGATTATCACCCCCTAAATTTTGCACTTCTCTGGCTAACCCTCCCAGTTTTGGTTTTTGTACAGTCGTCTTTACTTTTTTAGGTCGAGGTGCCGAGGAGCTGGAGGGGAGATCCAGCATATCGCGAACATCGTGGGATGTCATTTTGAATTATTACGTAGTTTGGAGTAGTTCTTCTATCTTTTCATTTCTTGGTGTCGTAAAATGAAATCCGAAGTTAATATGAGAATAGCGCGTCCGTTGATGAATAAAAAGAAAAGAAGATGAATTGATTGATTGTACTGGAGGAGAGAAAGAATGTTCAACGTAACTACAAAATATTGGGATCGCGAAAGATCCAAAAACCCAAGATCGAATCACTATCAACCGCTAACTTATCAGCACGTGCATTGAACATCCCTGCCTCAGAAGTCGCGAACGTGTTCTATCAATTCATCTAAATCCAAGCCTTTGTCAAGCTTCAAGCTCAACGATCATTGCAAGCTCACTTACTCTAATCTCACCACATACGCATACCAATAGCCATAATCGAAAATGCGCACATCCCTTCCCCTTCTTGGAGCCGCTCTCTCTGTCCTCCTCACCCCAATCCAATCCCTCTACTTCTACATCGATGGCACAGCACCCAAATGTTTCTTTGAGGAATTACCGAAGGATACACTGGTTGTAGGCCATTACACTGCAGAAGAATATGACGAAGGAAGAAGGGAATGGAGTAAACATGATGGATTAAACATATTCATTTCCGTAGATGTATGTTTACCATGCCCTCCCTTTCCTCAAATCCTCAATTTCCAACCTTGAAGCTCTATCCCGTACATTCCCTAACGATGCACAATAGGAAATCTTCGACAATGACCATCGAGTAGTATTTCAAACTGGTTCAGCTTCTGGGCGCTTCACCTTCACAGCTGCTGATGCTGGCGATCACAAAATCTGCTTTACTCCCTCTTCGACTTCTGGTTCTAGCAATTGGCTTAATGCACTTCACCCACAAGGTGGCATTAAACTTACTTTGGATATGGCAATTGGAGAGACGAGTCAGATTGAAAGTGATGACAAGGGAAAGATTAATGATATTGTACAAAAGGTCAAGGATTTGAATAGTAGATTGCAGGATATTAGAAGGGAACAGGTTTTCCAACGGGTAGGTGGTCTTTTTATTTATTTCCTACTTTCATGATGCCCCCTTCGTTCTCAGATATCTCGAAAACCTCCCCTCTTCCCCGTCCTCACAGCTACATAACCCCAACTAACACCCTCTCCCCATCCATAGGAACGTGAAGCCGAATTCCGCGACCAATCCGAATCAACCAACGCCCGTGTCGTCCGCTGGACGCTCATCCAACTTGTCGTTTTAGGAGTTACATGTGCATGGCAACTCTCACATCTCCGCTCATTTTTCATTAAGCAGAAATTGACTTAATCTACCCACACTTTCTATGTACGCTATGAATTGAAGAATGGAATGGGGAGCGTTTGATTAATTTACTCCGGTGTCGTCTAGTCGTCTACTCATGTTAAAGCCGAGAGAGCAAAAAGCATGAGAAAGAGAAAAGAGTATAAGACAAGACGAAAGATCCAACATAAAAGCAAGCAATAAAAGAATTATATAACATTATCTTCCTCTCCCGTCTCTCCTATTTCCCGATATTTCACCACCATCCACAAATTACTTAACGAATAACACAGAGATATCTTGTAATTATCTAATTCTATATATCATATATTTTACCAAAATTATCCAACTACACAATCAAAAAAACCCCAAAGATCCACCATCCTGAGCGTCCATCCATCCACCCATCTACCTACACATCCATCTATCTCTCTACTCAACCAAAACAGCATACACAGCATTATATACCTACCCGAGCATATACAGAATACATAGAAGTAGATAGAAATAGATAATGAATAAATAATAAAGTTAGTAAACTAGCAGTCTAATAAGCAAATTGATGTACTAACGGGAAAGACTAGTTAGTACTAGGTACCTAGAGGAAAATAATTGATCAAGGGGGATAGTAGTGAATAGAGTTAGTTGAATTTAAAGATATACTTACTATAATATAAGATATAATATAAGATAATATAACATACCTAATGAATACGATATAATATGATATAATATGAAATGAATGTAAATCAAATCCATAGTTCTCTTCCCGTTCATTCACTCACTTCATACACATATGAACATCACATAGCACAATATTCATTCATTCATTCACCATTAATTGCATTTACACATCTATATTCCATTGTCAACTTCCATTACACTGTCTGCCTCCCTGCCTGCCTGTCTGATTTAATTGATTTAATTGATTGATATGCCTGATGCTGATATTGAGAAGAACCCGTTTTGCTTTGCACTTTCGAAAAAAAGACGGACCCCTTTTCTTTCCACATTTACTTTTTGAATCATTCGTGAAAAGAAAAGAATATCGCAGCCCATCCATTCCATCAGAACATACCAAAAAATACAACCTCTCCCTTCTCAATCAATCCATCCCCATATGCACCTAATGTGTCACGACCCACAACCCACAAACAGAAACGACCACATCACACTCCAATTCGCCATTGCTGAAGTGCCACTGGAAAAAAAAAAGACACAACACGCCACTCGCTCCAAGGAAGTATGATGAAAAACAACGGGGTGAAAAAGCTATACATCGTAAAAAGTGTCCCCTGCTTCCCAAACCAAACTTCTTTTCCTTGGGATATTGTATTAAAACCAACGTTTCTTTGTACGTAGGAGAGCCATAATGTAATTCGATGAGAAAAGGTGGAAAAATGTGATGCCAAGGACGATATTTTGGATGAGAGAGAGAGATAGAGTGTGAGAGGGAAAATGTAAGAAAAACAATTATTAGTCTTGAAGGTGCTTCGCTGAAGAAGGCCCAAATGCCAAATGCCAAATGCCAAATTCCAAATGCCAACCGAAGGTATTCTGTTTATGATGTAGTTTCATGTTTCGAACCAAGCTTCAACATCGTAGAAAAGTTTATGTATGTAGCCACAAGAGTAAAGACCAGGCTTTTTACGAACTGAAGAAACAACTTGGCTGTCAAACTGATGCAACTCCGGTACATGATCTTATCTGAAACGATTTGTAGATTGACGTGTTCATTATAACCGACGTTCGATATGAAGACGGTATGAAAAGTGAATGAGTCGAGGCGTAAAAAAATCTCTGAAATGAAAAACAATTATGAACAAGTGTTCAGCCTAATCAGATATTAGAACATTTAGCCTGTGAGATAACAATGATTCAAACTAACCGCAGCACAATACTTTCATGATCTTTTGCATTACTGTTGGTTGTGGTTGTTCTGATGCTCTCCCATTTTGGTTCAATGGTGACGATTGTTGTGCTGCGCTCATCCTCTGAGGTAGATTGTTTGAGCTGTTTTGGAATTGTGCTTGAGTCGAGCCTGCTGGTGTCGATACATCCTGAAGTGCTCCGGCCGCTCCTCCACTGTTGCGTTTCGGAGCCAAGGCGCCTGGGGCGTTTGGCCTGTCGCGCGACTTGCCCATCCCTGGCTTCACTGGAGACGGTGGCGGGGGTTGTGCAGCGTTTAAACGAGCAGCAGTGAGGTGACCCTGTGTGGTATTTCCTCCTCGAGTAGTTCCATGTAATTCTCTTTGCGATGCTCCTGGCACTGCATTTGGTTGATGTAACATGTGTTGAGATGGATGCTGCTTCATGGCTTCCCATCCCTTGCCGTTGTTCAACTTCATCCAATCGTACTCTCCGTCTTCAACCTCACCGGAGTTCTTCAATGCCTGAGTGAAGAGGTCCCGCAAGTAATCGTAATCTGGTGTGTCCTCGAAACCTAAATTCCTTACGTAGCTCAAGTATTGGTTGAATTCTTCCGGGAAACCATCACAAAGATCCTTGATGGCGGTTGTCTGTTTCTTCTCACCAATCTTCTCGTACTTTTGCTTGTTGGTAGCAGCCTTCAATCCTTGCCATGGTAAACCACCTCGTAAGAAATACATGAAAACGTGACCTAACGCTTCAAGATCATCTCTTCTTGATTGTTCCCTCCCTAAATGCGTGTTGATACTCATGTATCGTGCAGTACCAGACAATGACTTTCGCTCGCGATATGGAATGTGCTGTTTTGTCTTAGGATCCCGGTATTGTTTTGCCATTCCAAAATCGACGACGTGAATGACATTTGCGGCTTTTGTATTCGGTCGACCAATTAAGAAGTTGTCAGGTTTGATATCCCGATAGATCAAGTTCTTCTCGTGAATTGTTTGTACCCTCGAGAGCTATTTTTGGAATCAGCATATGCGAAGTTACTCAGCCGTTTTATTCTGGAAAAGAACGAACCATTTGCTTTGCTACCATAACCACAGTCTTGGTCGAGAATCTTCTATTGCAGTGATCGAATAAATCTTCCAACGATGGACCAAGGAGATCAATAACCAGGATGTTGTGAAGGCCTTCTTGACCAAAGTAATAGACATTAGGAATACCAGCTAGGTTCAATTAGTCAAAACCTCAAAACGTCACAATCGATATACTAACGGCAGCCGACGAGAATCTTGTAAGTTCGATATTCATCTCGCAATTGTGGAGCGTCACTCTTTCGAGGCTCCTATTTCATGATAATATTGTCAGTAAACAAAAGCACTCGAAGTTCCCCCTTTTATGTTGATCAATGCTCCTTGATGGATGAAAGAATGAATCCCATGGTGAAATTGAATTGGATGAACGTACGAATTTGATAGCAACTTGTTGATTATTGAGTAAATTTGTTCCCTCAAAGATCACACCGAAAGAACCCTCTCCGATTTTCTTCCCTACGCGATAGTGAACGCCGACAACATTGGACGATGATGAAGAAGCCATCGTGACTGTATTAGAAGCTCTCGATTGAGCTCAAGTAGTTGAAGGATATGAAAAGCCGATTGAAATTGACGTCGGAAGGAAAGTAAAATCGACGAGGCTAAATCGATAGTTGCCTTTTCCCGATCAACAATGAATGAGTCGAGAAGGTAGGTGGAAGAGAAGAAATGAACGCGACGACTTTGGCGGGATTATGTATTAGCCAAGTTGAAAGTGTTGCTGCCACCAAGGGGACATTCAATGCAATCCCCAATGATATTGTCCCCAAATAAGTATTTTGATTATTTTTAGGATGGGTTGGGAGGGATGTGAATGGATGGAATTAGGAAAGAAGGGTTCGGGATGGTGAGAGGTTTTGGGGGATTAGGCGGCGAAGCGGTGGATGGGCGGATGGGTAAGTAGTGAAGTAGTGTTGGTAAAGTTTGGGGCTTAGGCTTAAGGTGGTTTAGGGACCTTTTTTTCTTTTTCGGGGGGGATGATGCACTCACATGAATAGCCGTAAGCCGTGGCCGTAGCTGGAGCTGTCGCTGTAGCCTTTGAGCCTTAGCTTGTCGGGTTTGGGATGGTAGAGATGGAAGTAAGGTGCAGGACTCGTGGTCGGAGGTAGGTAAGAAAGGTAGAAAGGGAAGAAGAGGTATCTGAGGTATCCACCAGTACCTTAGTGAAATAAATGCCAAGAGTAATTAATTATTGTATAAAAGGCGGGAAGTCGGAAGTGGAAAAGGGCGAACCAAAAAGGTTGGAAGGTCTTTTGCTGGTGTTTGGCTGGCTGTCTGGCTGGCTGGATTGATTGATTGATTGATTGATTGATTGATTGATCGATTAATCGATTGATTATCTATAGCTCATAAAATTGATTATATCGCTATAAGCAGAACCAGAAGTAGTCGAAAACAATTCCTCTTCTTCCCATATGCCAACGTCGTTGGATCCAGCCTTTTGAAATGGAACGATGGGATTATTGAAGAAAACAAAAAGCAAAGCCCCGTTTTTAAACTGCAGATTGTTGATTTGGAGAAGAAAAAAAAAGCGACGGTACGGAGTATTACTTGGGTAAATAGAACCAACCACCTTTCTTTCCGATATTTGCATTGAATGTTACAATTATATATACTCTATACTGTATACTTACTGTATAATAGAATGAATGCATGATGATTGAATTGTACGGCAGTATGAGCGTTTATTCCAATCACCGATCAAAGCAGATACAAATCCAGCCATGCGCACAAGGAGTGAGAAGCTATCCATCAGCAAGGTACATACAGTATTTACTTTCCTTCCCTCCTCCACGCTCAAGTCCGAGTCAACCAGAGGAAAAAGGACAGTAGAGAGACGGACAAGGCCCTACAAACAAATTACTAAGGAAAAGAAGCTTTAGGAGGTAAAATTTACTACAACATAGGCATGTCAATACCGATTTGTTGCACAGGGTTTAAAATCAATCCGCAAGGGATGCTTGGATTACCAGTTTTTTAGTCCTTCCAAGCTTGCTCGAAGGCTTAAAGTTATGTACCGTAGAGCTAGAAGTATTCTAGATCCTCATCCTCTATTTCATATGCATATGCCATACTCGGTATAAGTGTAAAGGTTCCTTCTATGAGAGTGATGACCCTTTTGATTCCTGCACGCTCATACATGACTTAATATAAAAGTTGGTTCAGCCAGCTTAGATCTAACATCAATGCAATGAGATCCGACCATACATTGGACGAAATAGAAGGCCAGCATATAATTCGACCAAGAATGTTAAAACACAGCTGCAGGTCAAAAGGTCTGAAGGTCACGACCTTTTTGACCGACCATTCGCAAGATCAAAAGGGGCAAAATTATGTCGGTACGTATATTTCAAGTTTAGTGAGGCTGGATATGTATTAGGTAGGTATTTGTGTACCCAAGTATCGTATCGTATCGGTGCCTTTCATATTTTGGTACTCCATCTGGTGATTCGTATCGGAGGAGCTTTTTATTTTCGGTGATGTGTAGATAGGAGAACTAAAGGGAAGCAGAAATCAATGATGTATCTTTCTATAATCGAATACTCATCCATCAATTCAGTATACCTACTAGGTACTTACCTACGAACATCAAAGTCCCATGGCAAGTTACTCCTTCATTCATGCACTCACCCCTTCATCACAAGCCCAAAACGATTCACCAATTCATCATCCAATTCAAGAATCCACCACAGTGGAATACCGTATTCTACTCCATAGTAAGCAGATAAAGGCTCCCACTCCCACTCCCACTCCCTTCATCTTCAGAGCCTTAAAAGGAGAAAAGCTATTTTTACAACACAGAACCTCAACTGCCTCGAGTCTCTTAACCTTCCAAATACTTACACCTCAGATACTCCCTTAATACAATACGTACTCAAACCTACACTTTATCTTTCACCATTTCATCAATCCAAGATAGGATGATAGATATATTTATTACCTATTCTACAATCAATTTCATTATCAACCTCCCTCCTTCCCTATCCATCAATCCATCCCTAGTAGGTTGTAAGATTATATAACAACAACTACTTGATTTCATAACGCATCCCCATCCATCCACCTCTATCCCCATGCCAAACTCAAAATCCAAATTTAATCTTCCAACCTGATGATCCATATCCTCTAATGCATTTTACAATCTTACTTCATCATAAATCATAAATACTCAATCAAGTACATACTCCGTCTGTATAAAGAAGAACCTCCACCCTCCAAATCCACCAACATCCAAAGCACCAAAGCACCAAACGCATAAAAGCACAAAAGCACAAAAAAACACCAAAAGCGAACCAACAGGGTCCCTCCCCAAACCCTGTCCTATCAACAAGTCCCTACTCCCTACTCCCCAAACCCAAAGCCCTCCCAAAAGCAAACAAACACTCAACTCATTGCAAATCCCTCAATCCCAATCTCAATTCCAATCTCAATCAATCCACCCATCTTCCTCTTCCATTTCCATAATCCGCAACCAAACCATACCCCCAAGCCGAAAAACCCCATAAAAAACACCCCCCCCACTAATCATCCACCAACCCAGACCTATTCTAGACCTAAAACTTCATTCCCTTCATTTCCTTTCTTTTCCTCTAACCTTCCTTTCTCTAACCTTCGTTTAGCCTACCTTACCCTTTCCTTCCTAAGTTCCTCTCGACTAATTCTATCCATCCATCCATCTACGTAGTATTCATCCATCCACCTAACAAGCTAGACCCATCCATCTATCCATCAACTAAAAACTCAGTGTTAACGAACCCTTCCCAAGTTCACACACAAAATTCCAACTCCCCTTAACCTCTTACCCCTGAAAATAACCTACTGTACTTGTCCACTTAGCCTACACCTAGTACTCTACTACACTACCTAGCACCTACACCTAATTAGTACCAATCCACCCACTACCAAATAAGTTACTAACCTACTAACCTACCAACCTACCTACCTAAGACTAGAACACCCAACCTAAAAACCTGGCTTCGCTTCAGCCTTCAATATCTACTCACTACTTATTACTACTTACTGCGTATTAAATTGTAGTATAGTAACTACGTATTCTTGGCATTTCATCTATATATTTATACATATAAACATAAATATCATACTCACAAACATCAATACATACATAGATAGGTAAATAAGGCTACTCAACCGAGTATGTATGAAGTACAGTACCAAGTACCAAGTATTAAATATTAAGTATTAAATACATACATAGTATCCACCCCCTATTGCTCAAACTTCTAAACGTCTAGCTTCTAAACTTCCTCTCTTAGACTTCTTTCAAGATAGATTTCAGCGTTATTGATCGATTGATTGTTTAGTTTGTTCGATTGATTTGATCGATTTGATTTGATTTGCTATGCTATAATCTTGAAGAAAAAAATATTAAAAAAATAATACTTAATGCTTAATGTTTAATACTTGATACTGAATGTTTATTTATTTGACCACTTCATCAATTGCAATCGAGGATTGAGGGATGAGGAATAAGAATTAATAAAAAGAGAGAGAGAGAGGGATAAATGTTACGCCGGGTAACAAGAAAACGCTCACGTGCTACCAATATCATGTGACTGGCTCAGTGAGGATCAGCAAGCTCAGTACTGAGCCATACTGATCCTACTGATCAGCTAGAACACGAAGGTCTATATAATCAAGATGGATTTCCTTTGTATAGAGCTTCGTGCTCAAGATCAATCATTTGTATACTCTACTATTTAGTTACGAATAGCATATCATTTATTGTCATTACTTTAAGTCCCTGCCTTGGACGCCCTAGTTATTAAACCTACTTTCTAGAAGCCTAAGAGCACTTTCCACGTGATCTAGACGGGTAAACCTCAGTAACATTTCCACAATCTCAAAACTCTCTTTTCTCTCCTCTTTTAAAAGGAATTAGAAATTATATATATTCCACTCATCAATCTCATACCTATCTAGCTACCTATCTATCTATCTGTCTACCTAATAATCAACATCATCTTACATTGATATCACCACGGCTTCCTCCCTCATCCATTCTCTCTTCTCCGTTCCCTCTTCTCCGTCCTCCCTCTTATATTCAGGACTGGTGGTCTCTATCTAGTTATCCTTAATACTATATACTCTATTCCATTCCATACACACATATAGAATATATATAACATAGCTCTACATACACACTACAAGATAGAATATACAGTTCTATACACACCAAGTACAGGATAAAAAATAAAACCTACCTCATCCTAAAGAGTGAAAAAAAAAAACCACTACTATACGAAGAACAAGCTCCCTAGCTACCCATCTACCCTATCTACCAAGTCATAGAGGCAATCAAAACTCCATACACACATAGAAAAGCTCAAGACGTTTAAGATTTTAAAAGTTTATACATTTTGATTCATCTAACCCTAATTATCCATACCAATCTTTTTTCATTCTTCCTATCCTATCCCATCGTATCCATTCATCCATCCCATCCATCCATAATCAAGCTAATTTAAATCGATTTTGTTTACAAACTCCAAACCAAAGAACTCCATGCACTCCACACACTCCACACACTCCACGCTAGTGAAAACCAGTGATATAGAACTGACTGCAATACCCTAATAGAAAGACTGCCAGAATCGAATCTTACAAACCATTCCATCTACATGTTTCTTTTTTCCTATCCCAACTCACTTATCCTTCAATATAACTTGACCGAGCTTCTAAAACTACCCGCTCGAACACTCCCACTAGCACTGCTTCTTCCATCAAACTTTGGTCTAGCCCTATGTCTAGGCCTCGACAATAACATGCTTTCCGCCCTCTCCTTCTCATTATCCGCAATGCTCCTCTCCAGATCCTCCAGAGTCCTAGCCGCCTCTCTATTCATGATCGAGCCCTCAGTAGATTCAGCACCAATTTCATTTCTGAAATCTTGTTTTGCGAGTTCCGCTGCTTGTTGATGCCAATTTTCTATTCTAGCTGTCTTGAGGTAGGAGTTTAATACTTCGTCTTCATCTGATAATCTTCCATCATGCGTTTACGCATGCTGGCGTCAATTCGAGACCATCGTTGTTCCAGCTCATCTGTGCATGCCCCAATAACCTCCTGAGGACTTAGTGGTTTGATTGTGAGATCCTTTTCGAAGATGCCTAATGAACATGTGGTCAGCCTGTGTTCCTAACATAGGTTGTTGGAACAATAATACTTACGATTCTTGAAGCAATTCTTGAGTGTCCAATATAAAGCTGTTGTCTTTAATTGATCTTCCACAAATTGATCGTCCTTCGCCTCGGTATTGTTCATTGCAGCCCAGTCATCTCTCAAGAGACATCTTCTCCAGATAACACGTTGCATGAGCAACTTCTCTTCTTTATTTGAAACACCTAAACGGATAGCTTCGAGGGCCCAATAAAACCTGGTAATGCTGAAGTCATCTTGTTCCATGGCTCTAAAATCATCAGCCATCAAGGTAAGCAAATCAACCAAACTGAAAGCATCCATAGACTCATGCTTGATGAGTTGAGTCATGCTATTTTCGAGAAGATTCATGAAAGAGAATTGTTGCTTCAAACTCTTATTTCCATGAGTTTCCAAAGCAAGTTGAACTTCAGCCTTATCGTCAATGGCCGTGCTGATGGTAGGATATATGTATTTGTAAATCAGGTCTTGGATTTTGATCAATCCTAGCTCCTGATTTGCTCTGACAAGTTCTGCTTCACCTCCGTCAGGGATGAGGATTCCGTTTGTCTGACTGTAATTTCGGCCCGCCATACGCGAAAGTTTGCCAATGCTAAGCTCAACTTTTTTGCTCCAGACATCTCGCTCCCGATCTAATCCGAGTTCAAGAAGCATTCTTGCGGCCTCGTCGTAATCCTTTTCTCGAGTAATCTCATGAATCCAACCAATCTTCGCATACTCCGGTTTATCACGGAGGAACGCGGTGAGGAATGCTTGATGAATTTGATACTCATTAAGCATTTGTTGGACTTGTCCATTGCTGATATAATGTTCATAGAGAGCGGCAGCCCAGCTGGCACCAAAGTTTGCAAAATACTTGTCCATCCGCTCATTAAGTTCCCTTTCTCGATTTCTAAGATGTTCACATTCATCTTCGCCAATGCCCGGTGTGCGAAGTGCATCAGCACATGAGACAACCTCATACATTAGAACAGAGGCCAACGTCTGTAGAATTTCGTGTTTTTCTGCAATTGCCATTGCTTCATCAGGGAGTTCCCATGTATCGGAAAGATTCTGTAGCTGTTTATCTTGCGAAACTGATTGTAGGTTTTGAAGACCTTCGGCCTGCATTTGTAGTTGTGGAGAGTCTTGCGCCGACACCCAGCGTATCCTCTCCACATTGGATCGGATAGCCATATCGATTAGAGCAGGATACTCTAATCGTATTTTGTCGAGGATTGCAGGATCGGCGCTTCCTTCCGTAGCAGGCTTATTCCAATATTCTCCGAGTAGCATAGAGACAAGGTCTGTTTGCTTTCGAACGTTTTCGGCGACGTAGAAAGTCGAGGTCCAAAACTCTGGGAGTCCTTCATAGCCTTCTTCTAAGATTCCATGCGACAATATTTCCGATTGTAATCCATATAGTCGTAAGTTATTCATGCGAAAGTCAAATGCACCCTCCAATGCACAAATCATCATGTCGTTAGATTGACTTAATGTCTCAACTACAGAAGCAGGAGAATTTTGGCCGTCCTGCCATGCATACTTGAGAATCTGAAAGGCCCATGGTATCGCCAAATGTAATTTAGCAACATCATGAATGAAAAAATGTCGAACACGATCGACTTCGCCCTTCTCAGTAACAGGCTCTGTTTTAAAATTTTCATGAATGTGGTCCACAAGTTCTGCGAGAAGCCCCCGTTTCTGTCCTTCAGGTAGTTCTCGAATGCGGGCGTCGTACCGCTGCCAGATAATTGTAGCCGCTGTCATTCTTTCTGCATCCCAAAGTAACTTCCACCGCGTGACCCTGTCAAGCTCTACGCCAGCCACTTTGAGATGCTTAGCAAGATCATGAAGAGCTGCTGCCCGCCTTTTGAGATGTTGCTCGAGCGAGGCAGAAACTGAGGGAATGAAGTTGGTTGTAGATTCCACGATCTCTGTGCTCAATTCCAAAGCAGCTGCTCCAACTTCTTCCGCAGGAAATTGCAATTCTGATCGTCCCGCAAAGCTCAAAGGATTTTGTGCCATTGTGCCGTAAAATACTGCTTGTTCTAGCTTGCTTTTTGCAGTGACTTGCTGTCTTGTGCTAGATGTGAGTTTGTCAACATCGGTGGCCGCCACACGTATCACACCTCCACCTCGAACCAACAAAACGGTGGCCGGATGCCTTGCCTTGTATCTGCGCGACTTTGCTTCCTCAATTCCATGTTGACTATTTTGGGGTTCTTCCATGCCCGACCCGACTATCTCAACGTTTGTATCTTCTCTGAAGTCTACTACATCTTCAAACGACGGTGAAAGTGTATGATTTTCGGAAAGAAGCTGCGAGTCGGGCGAATCTGATTGTTTTCCCCTGGAAACAACAACTACGGCACGGTCAAAGACGATATAGGCAACAAGACCTGGACTCGGTAGGTAAATTCGAGCTTTTGAAATTGCATGTTTGTTGACCATGGTGGTGTAAGATTTGAGTAGTCGAACATCTTCCACGATCAACTGATCCCGCCTAAGAACAACATCGACAAGGGTGTAGTGACTTGTATATCGATTGGAGAGGGAGGTTAGCAACAGCAGGTGATCTCCTACGTCGTAGCGCTCCTCTGACGATCGAGGCGTGAAAGTGAAGTCGAGAACTTCGAACGTTTCTAATGAGAAGTCGGATAGAGTAGGCTCGGCTTTTTTGATTTCCATTACAATTGCTTCCCGCCCCTCAGCTTCGGCATGCAGCGCATTCTGTCCATCTCTTTGAAGATTCCAGAGTTGTATTCTTCCCTTTCCTGTTGCGACGACAACATTTCGGTCTCCTACGTGCTCTTGTGGCCCGGCGCGAACCGCGGCAATATCTCCACGCCATGCTGAGCTAGACAGCGCATTTCGCAAACTGCCAAATATACCCCCTGCTAAAGGTCCGCTTGATCCTCTCAGGAATTGAACAGATATCTCGGGCCTTCCATGTCCATCTCTGACTCTCAAATAAGCTAGCCTTCCGGTACTGAATGCCAGGATGAACCCGGCTGTTTCCGCATTCAAAAGTTGCACAACGGTCTCCCCGGAAAGCATTCCTGATATAGTTGATCCTACTCCATTACTTTTCAGTTTGATCAGGTCAAGTGTAGCGGCACTAGCGATAGATTCCCAATATGTAATTTTTCCGGTAGTAGGTATAACAACAACAAGGCCTGGCTCCGAAGATGATGCAGAAGGCGAGACCAGCGAACCAAGAGGAAGAGGATCTGTTACATGCTTATTGTTGTGAGGTAAAGCGAATGTAAAAGTTTCGGGGGAAGGAATGTTGATTGCGTATGGCCAGACAAATGCGTGAGAATGGGTGAGAGCAAGTGCATAACCACTATCAGAATATATTGCGCCGTGTAGACGAGCTTTCAATTATACTTAGTGATGGATTTACAAAATCGATGGGAAGTTGATAAATACCTGTAATATCTGTGCGAATTTGGTCTGGAAGAGCTGGAAGTTTACTAACTGTGTAGGTATCGTTCTTGGTCTGCCAGAGGATGTAAATCATCAGTTTTCGAAGAGTCGCAACACAAATTCATGCTGAATAACTCACAAGGACCACGCTACCATCTCCCTTTCCAGGCCTTTCTGCTCCTTTCGACTTCTTGCCTCTTACTGCTATCTCCCGTCTTGGATTTGGGACCTCCTTGGGACTTTCGCGCCTCACTAAAGTAGCTACTTTATTGCTTTTTGCTTCATCCATTTCGAGTGTACCATTTGGCGCAAAAGTCTGATCATCGTATGAGCTTCGAACTCTCTTGCTCTTTGGTTGTGCTAATGAATTCTCGTTCGAAGAAGGCCGTGGCCGCCTTCTACTACTCCTCACTGGAGCAGGAGCACCAGCATTGACTGCGGGCGAAAACATTTTGAGGATTAATTGAAATTCGAATCGAGTGAAGGGATTCAGAATAAAAGAAAGATCGATGGAGCTGTTGGCATTATTCGTGGAAAGTAAATAGTCGTAAAGCTCGCCAGGATTGTTTTGTTTTAAAGCTTCTTAAAGTTTAGATCCATCTGCCCCAAAATAATTAAATCATGGTTCAAAAATCAATACAGGTACAAAGGCGGTGGAAGCCACGCGTTTTTAACCTGAGCTCTGACCATACAAGGCTTAGGCTTGCTTACTGTACACGTTTTTTGGTAAAATCTTACCTTAGCTCCAGACGATTTCGACTCTTTCCATGATGCTATCTGAATGGAATGAAAGAAAATCATGTTTTATAAATGAATGTTTGAAAATCTTTTTGGTCAATTGAAGTCACCCACTTTAGTTCTTCAAGCATGTATCTTGAAATATATATATTTCTCAAGATTCAGTGAGAATATTACAGAATCACATCATTAACAAACACATGCTGCACTGCAGAACCTGTTTGTACGGCACTGACATCCCAAAACCTCAAAGCCCATCAAGCCATGGACAGCGTATAGTTATCAATTCCTTCAATCCTCCAGCTTCCGATACCAATCCAGTAGTTCTTGGGTATGACTTGCTATTTCCATTATCAGTTATCTGATCATATTGAACCAAATAGCTTCCTGTGATCGCACAGTCTTGGTTTCTGAGGAAATATTCAATAGGTAGGACGCGAAAATAACATGCAAGGCTATAATTCAAGGCTGAGAAACAAGGCTAATAAACAAGGCTGAGAAAGTGACGACCCGATTTAGTGCCGGCTATGACGCTTGCATTTTCTCCCCTCATCAACATCATTGAACTTCCTGCTTCGAGTTTAACCATGAAAGTTCCAAATGCCACCAACAAAGCTCCCTCAATCTACAGGGCTCACAATCACTAATCCCCTCATATTATATCGTGCTCTATTAGCTACGAAAGTCATTGACCCCGATCCAGCTCAACATCGCATAGCTTTACATCTACAAAAGTTATATCTACGATTGAAGGATTATAAGCCTCAATCCGAATATGGAGCTCGACTCAAAGCAATTAGTCAGGCAATTAATGATGGCCAAAATGAAGAAGATGGACGAACGGTAGCAGTACCTGGTCATCCTTTGAGGAACAATCCACTGTTTGCCCATCTTTTCAAAAGAAAAGAACGTCGAGATACACTTGCAATGACAAGAGTCCTTACAAGCCATGAATCAGCAATGAAGATGGATTCCCCTCAAGGTATATTGCTTCATGGTGAGGTTGGGACTGGAAAGTCAATGCTATTGGATATGCTAGCAGATAGTCTACCGAACAGCAAGAAAAGAAGATGGCATTTCAATACTTTCATGTTGGAGACGTTTGCACGATTAGAGCAATTAAGACAATCTCGCTCCAACCATGGAGATCTAGGCTCAGAGGACTACTCATTACTTTGGCTAGCAAAAGATATGATTGAAAAGTCACCGATCCTTTTCTTGGACGAGTTCCAGCTGCCAGACCGAGCTGCAAGTAAAATCTTGAGCAACCTTCTGACACCATTCTTTCAATTGGGTGGTGTACTAATCGCATCTTCAAATCGTATGCCAGAAGAACTTGAGAAGGCTAGTGGTATGGATTATGCCGTTTCAGGAAAAGGTGGCCTTGTGAAGAATTGGCTGGGCTTAGCTAAACCCCAGAAGCTCGACATGTTCTCTGGTCGGAATGAGTTTTCTAGTTTTGTTGGAGTTCTGAAAGCCAGGTGTGAGATCTGGGATATGGGGAAGGGTGGTAGAGATTGGAGGCGAAGAGAAATCGAGGATGTTGATGATGAAACGACGAAAATGTCTGAAATCATGCGGGAGGAAATGATAGAAGGGTTTATTGGGCTTGAAAAACTTTCATCTGCCAATGTTGGACTAAGATATGACCAAAGTGTTCATGCAGAGAACGATGGCAAGACAAATGAGAAAATTGCCAAGGTCAATACTCCTAAGAAGTACCTTCTCACTTCAGACAGTGATGATGCTTGGGAGAATCTAGTAAAATCAACTTTTCCATCATCTCCAGAACCAATCCCATGGCAATCAACCACCCTCCTCGTCTATGGTCGTACAGTACCCGTTCCCCGGCATCTCAATGGTATTACCTACTGGGACTTCCCCACTCTTTGCGGAGGTGCTTTCGGTCCTGCAGACTATATTACCATGGCTTCCACCTTCCACACATTGATTCTTGATTCCATTCCTATCCTGACCCTGCTTCAAAAAAACGAAGCCAGACGTCTCATCACTCTCCTCGACGCTCTCTACGAAGCTCGTTGTAAACTCATCATCCGCGCTGCTGTCGGCCCAGACACCCTTTTCTTTCCGGAAACTACACTACCTTCCTCCTCAGACTCGGAATCCGAAAACCCCCAAGATGCCGTATACCCCGAAACGCTCTCTGAAATCTATCAAGATCAGACTTCTCCTTTCCGTCCGAATATTTCTACCTATATCGATACCTCCGGTACTAAAACTGGATATGACCCAGATGAAGATGCAGATTTCGGTCCGGTTCCTGGGGCAGGTAATGAGATTGGAAGGCAGAAAGGAGTGGATTTCGGCAGGACGGAAAGCTTCACTGGTGAGGATGAGAGGTTTGCGTATAAGAGGGCGGCGAGTAGATTGTGGGAAATGTGTGGCGGGAGGTGGCATGCAAGAGGAGGAGACGAGAACGGGGAAGGATGGTGGAGACCGTTGAGTATGGAAGCTAGGCGGTGGGAAAGGAGGAATGGGGAGGCGAAGTTAGATGATTTTGGGGTTGCGGGTGTAGGGAAGAGGGAGGTAAAAGGTGATGTTAAGATGGGGGGATTTGTGGAGCTTGAGACGCCGGCGGGATTAGAGGGGAAGTTATTAGAAGAGAGGGAGAGGGGGAGATCGGGAAACGGAGGGGCGAAGAATTAGAGGAAATATATATTTTCTAGAAATGAGATCATTCAATTTGATATTTTAACACATACAACAGCTTTTCACAATATATCAATTCATTGCATTCAAGAGTAACAATGGCAATTGCCTGATATCCATCTACATAAATGTTGATAATTACACCTTCCCCACAACCTCCGCTCCAATCTACAACTTAAACCCACCACCCCCAGTAACAACCTCACTCGCCAAAATTCGCTTGCCCTCTACATCCCTCATCTCACCTCTCTTCCCAATAACCTTCACACCGCCCCTCTTCAACTCACCCACCACATCCTTCTTCTCCTTCGCCTTCTTACTAAGTACCTTCTCCCCCTCACCCATTTTCTTAATTCTTTCCTTCTCCCTCCTCCTCCTCCTCAATTTTTCTTCTCGACTCATTTCCTCTCGCGCAACGGGTGCCCCTCCACGTGTAATTTCTTTATTATCCTTCTTTTGACCCTCTACTACTTGTCCCGCCTTGTAGATTTCCTGCGGCGCAAGCATGGATTCGCCGCCCGCGATACCAGATGCGGTGGATGGTTGTGCATCTTCCATGCTGATTGTAGCGACGTCGCCTACGACTGTGAGACTAGGTGCTGCGGGCTTGGGTTTGTAGTGCCAGGAACTTAGGGCGTCGAGTTTGGCGCATACATCTTTCCATAGGTTTTCGATTTCTTTTTCTTGGGCTTGAACTTTCTCGTCCGATTTACTGATGTAGGTGTCTGGATTGGTGTTTTTGATGTGTTCTTCCTCGTAGATTTCCGCGAGACTCTGTTGGTTTTTGGAATCGTCGAGTTCGAAGAGTCCGCGACGGGTGTTCGCCGGAGTTAGGGAATCGGGACGACGTCGAATGACTTCATCGAATTCCTGGGCCAAGATTCTTCGCTTGATGAGTTCTTCGATGCTTTCGCTGACTTCCGCTGTAATGACAGGAACGGGTTTGCCGGTGCGTTCGAAATCGAGATCTTCTTCAAGGAGAGAGTTCATGGGTCGATCAACTGCTTTTGCCTCTCCTGATAATGTCCAATCACGTTTCGCGACGGATGCAGCTTCCAGGCGACGAATCTCCTCGCTAATTTTAGCTTGGCGACGTTCGTGAGCTGAGCGACGGGACTTAGGATCTGCTGGGTCGAGGTCCGACAGGGCATCTTCAGAATTGGCATCATCTTCGTCGTCAAACAGATCGCGTCGGACGTCAGCCATAGCTCGCTCCACAGCAGCTTCAACTTCTTCGGGTGCTGCGTTGGCTTTTTTGGCTTGTCTTTCAAGGTATTTTGCTTGTCGTTCTCCCTTGCCTATCTTCCTCGGTGGAGGTTCAAAGAAATCCTTGTAAAGAATGTCATTTGTGTTATCATCAGCTGCATCAGCAGCTTCGTCCAAATCCATATCATCATCATCCTCACTATCTCCTTCGGGCGCATTCAAATCCATATTACCAAACGTAGGTCCGTCTTCTTCTTCGTCATCCTCTTCGCCTGAGACATCCATAGCTTTCGCACGTTTCGAACTCTTATCTGCTTTAGCTGGCATAGACATTGGATCAGCACCCCAGTCAATATCTTCTTCGTCACTCGCTTCCCCAGTGAAAGGGTCTGCAGCAGCATCCTGTCTTTCGAGAAATTCTGTTTGTTTATTGAAGTCATCGATTGAGAAAAAACCATCGTTGAGTTTATTTGGATCCTCCACGAAAACTCTAGCTCCGTCATCATCTTCATCATCATCTTCGTCCTCGTCTTCTTCTTCTTCCCCGAAGCCTTCGAAAGCCTCCCCGTCATCCTGACCGTCCGTTCCGTCCTCTTCGTCAGTGTGAAATTCCTCTTCCATATCTTCGAGATCCTCATCTCCTTCCATGCTCTCATTATCCGAGCCAATTTCAAATCCATCTTCATCAAATTTCATCATATCAGAATTACCCTCTCCTTCGTTCTCACTTTCTTCACTCTCATCCCCACCAATTCCAAGTCCCTCAAGAGCTCTTTCTGCGTCTCCTTTCAGCGCATCTATAACTCTCTTAGCCTGTTCCCAAACTTGCTGAACCTCAAACCCTTGAGTATGTATTTTCCTAATCCTCAGCACGTCTCCTGCAGCCTCATCCCTCTCACCCCTCTTCCTCTTTTTCCTCTGCTCTTTCAATCTTTTAGCTTGTTCATCTCCCAACTTTCCCGCAAATCTATCCAATGTTTCTTTTGCATATTCCAAACTCGCATTGGGTAATTTCGACGAAGGCGCAATGAAGATATGTCGATTGGTTGGGGTAAGCGCAAATACTAAATCCTCAATTGAGCTTGGTACATTTGTGCCATTTTGGGTAGATATAACAGAGGGAACTTTAAGGGTTGGGGAGGCAGTCATGGTGTGTGAAGTTGATGTCGCCGAGGATGTAATGCTGCTTGTCGTCGCCATCATTGACTCTCAACTTCCCTATGATTGACAATTTTGAATTTTTTTTACTCGAAGCACAACGATAAGACTAGCGTAATTTACGATAACTACCACGTGACGTATATCAATACAATACCTCATGATGGTTTACTTTTGAAGATCTTTCCTCCCTTTCTTGATATATTCTATTTCTTTTCCGATATTTTGAACTTCGATTCTTCCTGAAGCTTTATCATCATTCCTCACCCATATACTTCCGCAACCAAGTGATTGATCGGACTGGAAGTACAAACATCAAAGTTGATTCACAAGACATGTTATCTTATCAGGAGCTTCCTGATGGAGGTTCATTTCACGACTGAACATGTCGATCGTTGCATTCTTGATGTATTTGCTGTTTTTCAGTCAGCTGAAAATGTGCAAAACCCTGCGCATCTTGTTCTCTGGGCTGCAATGCACGCACGACATCAACACAAACCCCTGTTGGCCGTTTATCGTGCCCGACGTTGCATGCGAAATCGGATACTTTTATCACATCCATCTCGATATAGTGGTTGGTTATGCATCGCCGTAGTACAACGGTCTGTGTTCTTGAAGGTCGGTCACACATGTACTTGCTGGTAGAGTATGATAGCATACACAAGGCTGAAATTTGAATTTTACTCGCGTGGGCTATTACTGCTTCTAGGTTTATCAATTGTACGACATTGACAACGCCATTGGAGACGGGAACTTTCAAGGGTTGGACATGCACATCGCCGGAAAGAAAGGGATTCCATATAGCCATCCAACACAACGCGGAGGGAAAAGTCAATTCTTCATGGCTTAGAGTATGGAAGTGTGGGGGGTCGATAGGTGGAAACACAACTTCCTAGATATTTTTCTATGGAAATTTGTCAATCTTATGACTTCATGTGTATTCAATTTCATATCGTCTCCTCTTTTGAGGTGCGGGGGCTCGGAGTAAGCCTCCGAGCAGAAGGAGAAGGCAACGTCGTCTTTTCCAAATCATCACCAAATTTGGTATGCCATCAGACTTTCCCTCCTATACCGAAATGTTTCACAGCTTCAGATGATATCACAATCATATTGATAGAGGGGTAATAGCATATCCTGAACATGAGGGGTTGCTAGGATGAACAATATTTTGATGGTCGGAAACAATCCAGCGTCCCATGCTTGGTATGTTGTAATAGATTTTTCTAGGATCATCTGAAAGTACAGGTACAAACAGAGATGTATTAAGGACCTACTATTTGCAAAGTTACCTGTAGTAAGAAATTTAGTTCATTGTATGTATCTGAGCAAAAGAAGTCACTATCATTCCAACAGATGTAGGTACTCATTCACTTGTGACTCGGGGCTACTGGCCTGTGTCGAAAGCATTGGCATTGGCATTGACATTTGCATATACATATACATATACGGTCTACATATGCAAGTCTTTTTTTGTCTTAACCAATGGTGATGAATCCAGAAATATTTCGTACCGCCACATCTTGATCCTGGCCTTATCGAATCTTGAAAAGTCAATCTCCACGGAAAGATCTGGCAATGTTTCACATGAAAAAGTCAAACTTAAAATTTAATTGAGAGCGGCATAGTTAAGTACGGAGTCCGGCTATCGGTAGGTCTGAGACTTCTGAGATATCCGACAAACCTCGATGCGGACTTCTTTCTGTCTCGTATCTGTTCCATCCGTCTACGACAATAATATATGAATCAATGCTTACTTGGGAAGGTAGTAAATGTTGTACAGTACGATGTTGTGGAAATGGGTTCTCCCAAGCCGGCTCAATATGCCTGTGCAGGTGCAGAAACTAAATCTCCAATTACCCCTCCAGTTGCAGGTATCGGATACCTCCTACCGGTACCCTACTAGTTCTTTTGCCCTACTAGTTTCCTTGCAGATTCTGGTAAACTTCCCACTTGGTGATTAACATTGAATTAAAGACACACACACCTTGTGTATCAATCATGATAACATTTTGACCTAATTGGTCATTGATAATGAAACTTTGTAAAAACACAATGTTTCTCCCCTTCCCTTTGTGACTCTGCTAGATGTAGAGTATGGAGTATACCTTTTCATTATTATCATCTTATTTCATTCAATTGGCTTGACCACTCTCAATCAACCATCCATAGTGACACGACATTGAACATCATCGCCACGTATCGTCTATGCTGTATAATGTATATAGAATATGCTCGGTACTCCGTACACCTGTTGATAGTAGTATAAGCACGAAAAGATCCTGCTTTAGACCTGCAATTATCTTTGCTACACACTCGCTACTCCTCCATCCACCACATTCCTAAATGTCTCCCCACCACTCGCTATATCTCGGCCCTTAAACTTAATCAATATCTATGCCCAATCAAGATGTCAGACTAAGAACCAAGCCCCAGCGAGACCCTTCATATGCAGTATGCACACCGTTGATACAATTGCAGCCATCAGACATCCCATAGTACAGAGCTAAGAAGGATACCGTTAAAGAAAAGAACGGAAAGGAACCAAACGAGCAGGAGAGACCATCGATGGCTGATTTCATGGTTCCAGACTTTCTTTTTTTCTTTCTTTTTTTTTCTCAGAAGAATCCAGATCCTCGCAGCTTCGTATTACCGTCCACATACCATAAAAGTTCCCTGATCCCCAACACCATTATTCCTGTACAGTAGATTTGTCGCTATCTTTGCTTTGCTTTGCTATCTGTAGCAGCTAACGCTAAAAGATATCGTCCATTCCGTATCTTCTTGCGACTGAGTTTGAGTTTCTAATGTTTCAAAGACTTGGATGAATTATCACATCTCACTTGCACGTCCATACCGCTCTTACCATACTTATCCCAAAGCAGAACTCGACCTTCGCTGTGTTGCTTTTGCTTCACTTACTGTACTTAGCCCCCCCTTAACAACTTGGCACTAGCTTTCAAAAACTTCAAGAAGCTTATCATCTATCCATTTCTATCCCTATCTCTCTCTCCCTCCATATTCGTCTTCATTTCTTCCCATACATTTTTGCGGAAAGTTGGATCGTATTTGCTGGGCCTGGAATTCTATATCCACTTATCCTCAGTGTCCACTGCCCTCCACCAAGTTTTTGCAATTGCGGGATATTATTGCGTATTAAATTTCCAAAGGATCCCACCAAGACCGCCATTACCCGCTCATGAAGGTTGTTGGACCGGAACAAAGGGGAACAAACTACCCTCGGATTTGCTATAGAAAGAAACAATTGCTCAGGGTATCTAATATCTTTTGACCCAAGAACACTTGGGAATGAAGTTCCGGTCAGCAATTTTCAGTCGGACTCTGTGCCAGAATGGGCGGGCATGTGAGTCGGAAACATTTTCCTTTTTATTGGGTGTGATATCCGAAATGTTATGAACGCAAATACTGACCAACCAACTTTTTTCGCTCTGGCGTTTAGAACAACCTCCGATTATGATGAACTGAAGAATTCGATAAAACACAATACCACGGGGGGACTCGGGGAAATCAATTGCGATTCCAGGTCATGTCGATACTGCTTTGGTCGCATTCGAGAATGAATTCTATACAGAGTTATCCAACCAACATGATCGGGTTGAGCTGTTTGTAAAGAGCAAGAGTGAGGAAATTGGTCGCAGACTACGTGAGTATAGGGCCGAGTCGGATTTTAAAATGGTCGACATTAATTGGATAATAGAATATCTATCGAACATTGTCCTTCGATTACTTGCAAGATGTGCAGAAAGCAACAGTGGGCAGATGACGAGGAAGAGGATGAATAAATTCTCCAAATATACTACTCAGATTGAAAGCTGTGGAGATGATCTTGCGAAATTGGATCGATTTGTCGAAGCACAGCGTGTCGCATTCTACAAGTTATTGAAGAAGTATACGGTAGGGAAAACTATATATAATACCAAACAATACAATAATCCATCTGACGTCATTAGAAATGGACTGGATCTCGAACCCTCAAGGAACGATTTGAATCCGAGATATTAGGAGATCCAAAAAGCTTTACGAGGCAAGATTTCGCTCGGCTACATTCACAATACAACGATCTCATAACCCTTATCCGAGCTTCTACTCCAGTAACCAGTGGGCCGTCTACTCCAAGTATGGGGTCCATAAGGGAAAGTCTCAACTGTGCTCCAACGCACACGCAAGAACGATCGCCGCCTCGACAAACATATTGGAATGAATACGATAATGGGAGCGATGTCGATCAAGACGAACCATATTACATATACACGGACCCGAATGAGGGAATGACGTTGCCTGGCGCAGAAGTTGTTGCAAGTGCGATTAAACGAACAAAGCAAGGAATAGAGAAGGTCAAAGACTGGTTCACACCCCATCAATCATCGCGAAATCGCGAACGGGAGCCACTATTGAGAGATCGGGATGGGGGATACTTTCAGCGAAGCCCGAACGGAACAACGAGTGGTTCAGTAACCGATGTGGATGAAGAAGCATATGCTTCCTCAGCGGATTTCCCACGCGGATATGTTGCACACTATGCTACCTTTCCTAGCGTAGCCGATCAAAGATTAAGTCGATTCCAAGAACAAACTCTGTTATTCACCATGATTGCTTGCTTCCTATTTTCGGCATTTTCTGAAGCCGCATCCACACTTCTTCTTGCAACAGGACGACACAAATTGAGGACAGAGGTTGACTTGGGCGCACTCATGGGTACCTTGTTGGGATTTTGTCTGGCTGCTGGTGGATTGATTTGCATGGCATGTCGGAATGAAAAACTTGGATGGATCCATCGCGGAGCTGTGCTTATCACCACAGCTATTTTGTTGATTGGGAGTATTATACTTCTGATTATGGTAATGGGGAATTAGACCTCTCATTACGATCATGAGTTAACGAAATACTCAAGACCCAAGGGCAAAACAACCGGTAAGCAATAGGTTATGGCAAGCGCAGAACATTAATAAAGTGGATGGCTAGCTTACATTTCAAGTTATTGCGCTTGCACGTAGCATTGCTTGGGGGTTTAGTTTTCTATAGGGGTTTTCAATCTCTGTGCTTACTTCATTGTTTACTTTTACGTTCTTCTAGCGGGCGCAACTTGCAACATGCAAGTTTCTTTTTCTGTTGAGATTTGGCATTACAGCATGGCGGGTGTGGCTTAAACTGGTTGTGAGATTTGATTAAGTGATTGATGGGACAATGCAACAGGCGGACGTTCCTTACGTAACGACCTAATGCTTTAGAATTGCATTTTATCATATAGAAGGATTGGAATTGGGGTACGCATTGATTGGATGGACGAATGGGTTCATTGATTTGAAGAGGCGCAACTAGGTGTATGAGGGGGATTATTGTATATTCTTGAGTTGGTGTTGATTACATTGATTGCATTGAGTGGGTTGAGTGGATTGGAGTTTCTAATTTCAGCGACGTGGTCGGTATGTAGATAATTTCGAATGTCACAGCAGAGCGCTATATGGTATAACGTGATGGTTATGGTGTAGTATAGTTAGTACCTAGCGTTGTATTTGAATGTTTATGAACTTTTTTCCCTTGCATGAATGATTGATTGGTGCGTGGACTGAGGATATTGATCCCTTGGTTATGGTTATGGTTATGGTCATAGTTATAGTAATGGTAATGAAATATATAGATACATCTCGGCGAGTATTGTATTTCCTTTTCGGCTGCTTATTTCTTTTCTTTCCTTCCCACTTCGGTGTTTTGAATGCATAGATACTAGGTAGTCCGCGACTCGTAGTTCAGATATTGTGTGCATAACGGGTGGAAAATTTGAAAATTTGAAAAAGTTGAAATGAGAGAGCTGGTGTGCTTGCTCCCTGAAACGTAAAGTGGAGACGGGAAGGGAAGGGAAGTGTTAGGAAAGAAAGAAATTTGAAGAAAGATTTGTAATTGTTTAAATTTTCCTGTTGTATTGTGTCGTACTGGGATTGTGTGTTTGTGTTTGGGGTAGTGTATAGAATAGTGTATACTCTGTAATTATAAGATTTATATATTCAACTATCTACGAAGTATTGGAGGTCATTGGAGGTTACTGGAGATCACTGAAGGTGGATTTTTGGATTGTGTGGGGGATCTAGAGCTCGGTGGGGAAGGGGGCGGTTTGTTGTATGTGGATACTGGATGGAGTTTGATGTATTATGGAATTGAAATTGAATTGGAATGCGGCTTAGAAAAATTTAATAATCTAGTAGGAATGCGGGCTGTGGACACTTGATGAAGT